CAGACCCCAAGGTTGGGGTGGTTGTTGAGGGAATGGATGCCTTGGGTGAAACAAGGGCCGTCGCTTGAGCATGCTATTCAGTCCCGGGTATTCTACATGCAAGAAAAGACATAGTAGGCTGAGGTGTAGTAGTTTCTTCTTAAAAAGAATAACTCTAATCCTAATTCCTAATAATTAGCTTCTCTTAATTCCTAAAACAAACATCTTTATCCCTTTGATTACTCAGCAGCTAATGGTAATTTGTATGCCTGTCATCGTTGTCTCCTCGTTCCGTAAACCTCTGTTAAGTTCTTGGAGGCTTCATTCACATTATGCATTTGTTTAAAAGCTCAATACTCTTTGAGGGGGGAGAGGAGGTGCTGTGTGGCAACCCATACAAGAAAGGTGGTTCCTGCTTTTCCTCCTGGTTATTTTAGCACTGTGATGAGGAGGGTAAGTGGATGAGTCTTTGGAGGAGTGGGAGAAGGTGGGAAAGGAGATTTCTAGTGAAAATGAGTCTGTTCCAGGGAAATTGTTCATCTTGTTCCAAGCCAGAGCCTTGTTTTGCTTTGCATCCTCTATTTTGACAAGGAGCAGTAGAGAGTCATATAATAACTTAACAAAAGTTTCTAGGAAACTAGAAGGTGAATGTGGCCTACGTGTGCTTGACTGCTGAAAGTCCAGTCTGATCTCTTTTGCAGAGTTTGACGGAGGCTATTCCTGTTTAGTCACTGAGAGCATTGCCGTAGTGCTGCGCGTACAGGAGTAACACAAGAGCGGTGAGAAAATACATTGCTGTTGCATCAGCTGCACGAAGAGCTTCAGCCACATCGTGTTTTATCAAGCTCATGCCTGTCTTGGCCTACCAGTCTGGCTTGTCAGTGCTGCTGAAATAGAGAAAAGCCTTTAGTCTCTGAACAAGATGATGTGACTGCTGCCCTTCAGTACTCAGCAAGAACTGTGGGCTGCGTATCGATGTGCACTTCTACCCCTGCAATGCAGATTTACGATTGTTCCTACTCCTTTAACAGTGTTGGGAATGGGGGTGGGATGTTCAGCTGTGCTTGGATGAAATGGTAGCATGTTAGTTGGATATAGCTGAAAAAAATTGCGTCCCTCTCCCTCCAGCAGTGTTGAGAAGATGAAGTCTTTGACTTCAGCACTGATTTTGCTGATCAATATACAAAGCACTGTAGGAATTACCTTGTTGTGGTAAAACTGTAGCAAGTAAAACACAGGCAGGGACCTTATGGGCGTCAGAAGTAAAATTCCAGGTCAAAGCTTGAGTTCGCGAAGGCGAAACGTTATGTCTACTGAATATCCCAGTTGAGTGCAAGGATGCATTTAAACCGACATCTTCGATTTGCAGCTCTGGCCGCTGGTGAACTCATATGAGAGGTTTTGATACACTTGACCTTATAGGCATCTGGGACATGAATTTTCCCCCTTGCCACAGGATCCTCAAAGAAAAAGCATATAAATAGTGTTCCTAGATTTCATACAGGTGGGAGTAGTGGAAGTGCATTTCTCCCTGGATATCCTTGTAATTTGTTCATCAATAGTAGTCATGCTTGGTGCTGTAGGTAAGAGATTGTTGAGAATTTGGAGTGTCTTAAGAAATATTGTGGCTTATGATCCGAGGTTAGTTTGCTTTGTGCCCGGAACTCACATTTCTGTGTTTGACCTGCTGCCACGAATGTACTGCCAAAACAACAGATAATCTTTTCCAAAACACTATGTCGTAGTTTAACCTGGCAGCTGGCAACTAAGCACTGCACAGCCGCTCGCTCACCCTTCCGCTTCCCCACAGCGGGATGGGAAGGAGAAATGGACAAACGCGGAAACTCGTGGGTTGAGATAAAGACGATTTAATAACGCAACAAAGGAAATGCTACTACTACTACTGATGAATATGCAAAACAATCTATATACAACACAGTTTTTCTCACCGCCTGATGACCGATGCACAGTCAGTCCCCGAGCAGCAGTAGCAGAACCCCGAACTTGCAGATTTTTGAGAATTTCACAAAACTCCCAAAAAAACCCTAACTCCTGGGAGAAGTTCAAACTCCTGGACAAGAGAGGATTTGAACCCATGGAAACGAGAAAGAGAAGATTCTGTCCCTCAGCCAACCCCCATTCATAAATGATGCCCATGGTATGGAATACTTCCGTTGGCCAGCCTGGGCTAGCTGCCTGGCTGTGCTCCCTCCCAGCTCTTGCACACCTGCTCATTAACTGAGTATGTGAGACTGGAGAAAGTCCTTGATTTCATAGCAACAGCTAAAAACATCGGTATTATCAACATTGTGACAAAACCAAAAACACGGCAGCTACTGGGAGGAAAATTAACTCTATCCCAGCCAAAACCAGGACACACTTCCAAGAAACCAAACATGCATCAGCTCCTTTCCTTTTTTTTTTCCAAAAAGAAAGCTGTGGAAGATTAGGCAAAGACATGTGTTTTATTTTGGTAGTCCTGCTTTGGGTAAAAATGTCTTGGGTGTTTATGGTCTTTTGGATGGTGCCGAATGCTCATCTGCCTTCCATCTCAAAGGGGTCTGCAACTGGAAAGGTCACCAGCACATCAGGACGGAGATACTTAGTGCATCTCTCTGGTTATACTGGATCTTAATCACTTAAGCCAAGCACGAAATGCCAACTCCTCCAGCTCTAGAAATACTCATGTGACTCAGTATGGTAAAGGGCCTTGCAAATATTGGCCCAACGGTGTCAGAAGAAGGGACATGTTGTTTCTACAGCGGTGCTGTATGCTTTCTGACTTACTTAGCGTGTAAGGATTCTGCGTTGGATGGCTTGGAAACTCCAGGTCTGCTAGTTGACATTCCTGTGGCAGTAGGCAGGCACAGGGTTTCTTCTCGGCCACATGCCTAGGATTTTTCGAGTGCAGCCCTTTTGAGCACTTCTGAAGCACGTGGGATTCCTCTGTACAATCATGGCTTGGTTCTCCACGGTCTAACTGGCCCTTCATTTGAATCATGCATTTTGTTGTCTTTTGTGTTGTATAGACATTGAAGTCTGAAGTGATTGCTGAGCTGAGAGCTCCCTTGTGACCCCGCATTGCATTTTCCGTAGAGATAAACTGGCACTTGAAATCATAAAAGATCGATTTTTTTTTTTTTTTTTTTTTTTTTTTTTTTCCAGTTATTCTGTCCTTCTGCCCAGCTCCATTTTACAGTTTGGAGAAGCCATAATATTCTTTAGATATCCATGGAGTTCTTGAATAAATTAATGTACAATTTGGGGAAACAAATTCACTTTGTAGTTTAGTATCAAAGCACAAGAGGCCTCAACACTAACCCTATCTGCATAGCTAAGACCAGCGTAGCTAAGACCAGCGTAGCTTAGACATGTGCAAATCAAATGTTTCTTCATCTTCTTAAATGAGTTTTCTGACTGATTTGCAGAATATCAGCTTGGTTCTTTATTATACAATATACAGTTTCTGCAAGCCAGATATTCACCAAAGGTAACATTAAACACTGAGCAAATAATTGTTTCCTGTCACACTGCATTAGTGACTGGGAAGAAAGTGTTTCCTAATCTGTGTTTGTGCAGAACTGAATACAGCTCTAGTGAAGCTTAACTTCAGCTTCAGCCATTCAAGACCCTAAGAAATTCAGCACCGTGTTTGTCAGTCACTGGGAAAATGACTTTAGACGTTCTTGTGTGCTTCTTGCCCTCCCACTTGTGAGTTTTATAAGCTTAGGAACTTCAACGTGAGGCTAACCAAACTCTTGGGAAATCCTGGTAGTCCTGGGCTTTTGCTGTCTGTAGGGAATATTGCAGAGATTTTTTTTCTGAGTTTTACCATAGCAAGACCTGGCCACAACTCTCCCATTCCGTATTTAAGAAGGACAAGGTTAAATTGTCGTGTGATTACATTTTCCAGCAAAACCTGCTCTTATTTTTCGCCTTAAATCTGTTATTTATTACTTGTTCTATTCTGTAGCTGTTTGGTAGAACTGACAGCATGATGCATAAAATCTTAAAAAACCTATTAAGAAGTATTCGGATTGGACTGTACCAGTGAAATTGTGCTGTGCACTTGGTAAGAAGAATCTGGTGTTGTAGAAAGGTATATTGAGTAGATCGTCTCTCCTCCCTGGGAAATGTTCAAGCTGGTGTCTGTGCCTTGGTGTCAAGTCCATCAGCTGTGGGGTAAGAACCTTTGTGCTGCATCTGCACTGAAAGGGCAGCACCGCTTCCTAGAACGATGGAAATGCCAGATCCTGGGTTTTGGAGCTTGAGTCTTCTGGCTGGCATCTGCAAGGAGGGTGCTTTGGGTTCATGTCTTCCAGTGGGCCGAAGTGTGAACCCTGGCTCAGGGAGTTAGTTCCATACCTGTTTTCATTTGTATTTGAATTCAGCAAGATAGAAGCTCATTCTCCCTCTGTGTCTCTGCTAGGCAGTGAACAGGCTGAGTGTTTCTAGAGGTCTTGAGGGGGGATCGAACATCCAGGGTTCACAGAGAGACCAAGACAGTACTTACTCTTTCATCTGTGTCACTTCTTCAGCCTGAAGTGTGCTACCAACTCGTGTGTTTTATCAGTACCCTGCCCAATTTCATCAATGCTCTGCCTGACTTCGTCATGTTATGAGTGATGCGTGTAATTAGGAGGAGGAGGAGGAAGGAACATGTTTGCCGTTGCGAGTGGGGAGGAGGAATCCTGTGTACCTGGCACTGGCTGTCTGCCTACACCTGTACCTCTTACCTGCAGAGAAAACGTTTGAGGGAGTGATCTAAAGAAATCCAGAGAAAATATAGCTTATAACAGCTTTCCTCTTGGCAGATGGAGATTTATTTATGCTGTAGGATGTGACAGGCAGTTCCTGGTGCCTCAGCTCTGTCTGAAGTGTGAGTGATCACTGGAAACGCTAGTGATTGTGTTAGAAGTTTTCCTTCCTCCAGTGGGGAGAGTGTTTGAGCTTGAACTCTCCCCTTGTTGAGATCTTTGATGTTTGGATCTTTAAAACCATTCTCCACTGCAAAGACCTACCAGTGCAGCCATCGTCCTTCCCTTCTGAGACGGGCTGGACCAGGCTCCCTTCAGAGGCCATTAAAGCTGCTCGTTTCATCCTCCAGAGAGGTCGACGGAGAAAGACAGAAGTAAGTAATTATTCCCCGCCTCTCCTCCCAGTAGTTGAGAGCTGTGGAAGTTGAAACATCATTAAATCTCCGAGTAGAATGGGGGGGCTGCAAGACTCCGCAGCCAGGGAGCCTGGTGGCACGCAGCAGAGGGGAGGGCTGAGTAACAGGTGGTATTTCGAAACTACGTGTGAATAACAATGCGCTGCTGGTAAGAAAACAAATCAGCCTTGCCTGCGAATGTTTACGATGATGACTTTCAACACTGCTTGGATTGCGCAGCCCTTTTCCAGCTGTGCCTCTCCGCTTGTGTCACAACATCTCACACCGGGGTGAAAACCTTCTCTGCGGTGCGGAGCCGTGCAGCGGGGCGGCCGCCAGCCGAGCAGCTCGGCGGAGCACAGGCTTTTAGGAGAATATTCTCACCATTTCCGTATTAGTGGGCCACTAGGTCCCAACATTTAAAGTGTTTTTTGCTGGTGGAGTAAGCCATGCAATTTAGCTTGAGATTTCATCCCATTAGGAGCCAAGCCATGCACGGAGATAATGCTATGTTTGAAGAGAAAGCAGGTGTTAAAGGTTGTTCTCCCTCTTAATGTTGTGTGCGAGTGTTTTACAGTAGATCAAACTTGCCTAATGTAATCTTCATAATGCTTTCATTTAAAATGCTCCCTGTGGTTTGTATGTGTGGAACTGAAAGAGCAGAATCTACTTTGTAGCTTGGTGGGGCGGGGTGTTCGATTGAACATATGTTCACACTGTCATTTGGGAAAGATAATAGGTTTTTAACCTCTGTCAGTGTTAGACTGAGGTATTTATGGAGCTCTATTAAAGCTGTGCCTAGGCAGCTAACCTTGTGATACAGGTTTTTCACAGTTTGCCATTTTCCTGTGATAAGTTGCGGCTTTTCTTGGCCTCTCGCAGTGCCTCTTGCTGTGTCAGCCAGCATGGGAGCTTACCAAGAAATGAGGAATTCCTTGCTGTTTGTCAGTGCTGCATGAAATGCTCATGGCTACTGGTATTGTCTGTTCAGTAAATACTGTCACGCAGATTGAAAAAGCAGCCTTGGAGAGCTCCGGAAAATACTCTTCCGGGCTTGACGCACGGAAACTGGAAAAAATGGTGGCGGCTGCACTTGTGCTTGCGGCTGCCGAGACATCCGGGTGCCGCGGTGGTGCTGAGCTGCTGCTGGCATCGCGGAGGGTGCCGGCGGCAGGGATGCTGGGCAGCCTCCCGCTGCTCCTCTGGGCCGGGAGCCTCACCCGGGGAAGCTGTGTGTAATCTAGTGTGCCGGTACCCTGATGGTATGGTCTCTCTTCAGTCACTTGAGGCTTCGAACAACCTAAATTAGCATGATGGAGACTGCAGCGTGCTTCACAGAGGAGAGGTTATCTCCAGTGAACTGCCATTACCACTTTCGTCACTGTTGATTAAGTTTTTTTGTTAATGTTTAATCCTCAGCAGCAAATGCCTAATGTTTATATGCCCTCTTCCTGTATAAGCAGAACATCTGTTTCATAAAGTTGGCTATGACATCCAAAACTGAATCAGTGTAAAATTTTAAATATATGTGTCAGACAAACAGATGCAAAGGAATTCAGAGCGTAAGCGATCACTTCAGTGTGCACAGGTCCTGTTGTGGCAGGGGTTTCCAAGGGTCTTAAATTGCATATTAAACAGTGCTTGGTATGACTGAGAGTAATTTCTAGCCTCAGCTTAGAAGTCTTTGCTGTCTTACTATTTCCAGTGTAGAAAAGATAATTTTTTTTTTTTTTTGTGATGGCATGTTCCCCCTTGCTTTTCTAGCAGTAGTGCCATGGTGGTGTAGCTGAGAAGAGTTCACTTGAACTGCCCCTACTATGAAAACGCAAAATCTTACACTCTGGGGAGAAAGGAGTTTTTCGTGAAATACGTGCATGTGTTCGATGGATGACTGCAGCAGGGTGTGTGTGGAACTGTAGGAAATTCCATAAGGTTTCCAAAGAATAAATTGAAAAGAAGTGTCTAAAATGTGATTAACAATTAGCAGCAGAGACTGATATATTTAGGGAAGGATATTAATGTAGATTGTTGACTTACAGATATTTCGAGCTTTTTTATGCATTTATTAGTGTTGCCATTTAAGTAGCTTAAGTATCCTTCTCTGTATACAATGTGTCCTGGGATTTAACAAACTACTTACTCGGGAATGGATTCCACTCAGGCGTGATTTGGCATTCTTGCAACAAAGACTAGCCGATGAAGAGTGTGACAAGAGCCAGTACTGAAATGATCATCGTGGTAGCCGTTGGGGAAGGGAGAAAACAGATGTATGAGATGTACCTACTGTTCATTTAGTGTGTAAGTCTTGGTCATGGTCATCAAGGTGGATGCATGCATGCCTAAAAGAGGGCTTTCCTGAAATCCCAGGGAGCTTGGCAGTAGGTGACGGGGTGCTTCTCTAAAATTCTGGCCTGAGGGATGGAGACTGACAGTGTGGGACAGCTGAAGGCTGGAGTCAGTGACCTGACACTGAGGGAGAGATGCTGGGGTAGAAAACTGGGACCCTGTATGAGGGGGGGGGCAAAAGCTTATGACATGTTGTAGACAAGGGAGCTTGCAGGGACAGAAAAAAGAGACAACATTGTCAAAGTTATGAAGAATGGATTGAGGAGAATTGTGCTTAGATATTGGCAGGGTAACACTTCCAGGTTTCAAACAGCAACATGCTCTGAATGACTACAGCGAACGCTGCCAGTGTGTACCAGAAGTAAATATAGTAGAGCAAGCACTGCTACAGAGTCATTGAAGTCAATGCTGCATAACATAAAATTGCATAAGATATTTGTTTGTGAAGGTTATTAGAGCACAGTTTTAAATGGATCCGAGTCCTTGGAAAGGTGAGTGTCTTCTGGTTCCCTGGGCTGAGGTTTCCAATAAGTCCCAGTCTGATCTGGCAGCAGAAGGGGGGACCTGGCTGCTCCCCTCCTGCCAGCTCTGACGCTCGTCTGACCAGCTCCTGAGCTGCTCCCACTCACTGTGCCAGGAGGAGGGGAACTGCACTCTCTCCCCAGAAACGAAAAAAAGCAAGCAAATTTTTGTTGTCCCAGTTGGCTCGGGCTATGAGGGGGTGAGAGAGCGTCTCTGAGGGTCCGTGGATGAGAGGACAGGCAGAGGTATCCATAGGTCTCCGAGAGGTGCGTGAGTGAGAGGACAGGCGGGGGTGTCCGTAAGTGGTGGGGCAGCGGGGCCGGCTGCCCCCCCCCCCCGATCCCCCCCCG